GTTACTACTGTCATGCCTTCGCCGGGAATCGAACCCGAGAACCTGGATTGACACCTCTACTACTAACGCTGCGAGAGGTGAAGCAGCATTTTTCATAAATTTGAGGTTGTACATAGTGGTACAAATTAATTCAAAAAGTAATTCACTTTAATGTATTGAAGTTACCCCAACAAAAATTTTTCTAAATGTCTCCTTGTTAATGATTATAATACATTGGAAACCATTGTAAGCACCTGTCGTAGCTTAGTGGTAGAACAACGGTGCATAAAACTTAGGGACCCGGGTTCTATTCCCGGCGAGGTAGTAACAGCAGCAACAATTTTTCGTCATTAATTTGATGTAATCTGTAGTAGTAACAATTTTAAAAAAATCTTGAAGGTAGATTTTGATGATTACCTTATTACAGATGCTTATACCACATCCATTTTTGGATAATTACAATGAAATTGATAATCGTCTACTCTCATGTGTGTGCACTGTACTGCAAAAATCATCAGAATTTAATGTTTCAACGTTAGGGTTAATTTTAGAATTACTTTTGACCTCTAGGGACCCGGGTTCTATTCCCGGCGAGGTAGTATCAGCAGTAACAATTTTTCGTCATTAATTTGATGTAATCTGTAGTAATAACAATTTTGAAAAAATCTTGAAGTTAGATTTTGATGATTACCTTATTATAGGTGCTTATACTACGTCCATTTTTTGATAATTACAATGAAATTGATAACCGTCTACTCTCATGTGCGTGCACTGCACCGCAAAAATCATCAGAATTTAACGTTTCAACGTATTTTTTTTTTGGTATTCGATTACTTGATCTTCTTAATCTTAAAGAAGGAGATTCATCAAACCAGGTAGTGAAAGAGATATCGAAAGGCACCTGACCATTCGGCCGTGTCTCCGATATTTATCGGGTGGATCCCGCAATGGTAAGATTGATCACCCCCTTTCTGTTCACACGGATGGCTAACGTCGACAATTCCGTGTTATGAGTATCATCAACAGTCAGAAATTTTTTATCTTTCAGCATTGTGGTCTGCTTTTCCAACTTAATTTCAGAAAGATAACCGTCTGATTCAAGAACACAATTCGAAATTTAATTCCTTGTCGGCCGTCTTTGAATCGTCACAGACGTCAATTCGATGAGCGTTAATAGAAAGTTTGTGATGTCTTCTTACTGTTGAAGATGATTTTGAAAAGTTTCATCCTATATTATCTCCTTATAACGGGATCAAATATAATATTGCTTCATTAATTTTTACTTTAGTTGTTAATTAAAGAACAAGCGATTCGTAATGCGACATTGATTTTAATTAGATAGTTTTGTTTTATTTCTTTTATAACGAGAAGTATAGAACTTTCGAATGGTTATGGTGTTATTGAGACAATTTCATCTTGAAAATATCTATATAAAATAAAATTTGGGGTCGTTTTTATGGTTACTTTTAGTTCAGTTCCATAGAACTTTATTTGATATTTTGGTATTCTAAACTATCTATTTCCGGGAATTTGCAAATTTGTACATCCTCATGTTTCTGGAAGGTCTTAACTACTGACTGCTATAAAACGGAAACTACGAAAGAGATACGTTTCTAATGGTTTGGCTAGACTGAACAAAAAAATTGCAGAGAAGATTTTAAATTTCATAGTTTTTTGATAAATCTTCTATTGGTCAATTTATTCATTAGTTTCAGTACAAAATGACAAAAATAACAATGATTGTCGTAAAGTATTTCAAACTGATAAGGTTTGAGAATGTATTGGGAAAGAGAATATTCCCCAGGAAGGTTAACTAAAATTGTACGATCATATAATAATATAATAGTTTATTTTAGGAATTTTGAACAAATAATTATATTTGAAAAACCATTGTTGTTGTCACGTACATATATTCATGTTTATGAGTGGAATAACCTCTCATTTAATAGAAGAGTGTCTTGATACAATAAACCGTCCCTTCGCAGAAGACTGCAATTAGGTAGGTACCCTAGCAATAGTCACAGGTCATCCTGTGTTCATATCAAGAAATTACGCTTATCTACAATTTTGAATGTAAGGGAGGTACCACCCTTCCACTTGTTTTCTGTACCGCCCACAACTCAAAATTTAGTGAGAACAATTTTGAAATAGAATCAACACTTCAACACAGTAACCAGATAGATATTGAACCATTTAGACGATCACCATTTTCTGTTGCAATTGTTGTACTTGTACAAATTTGTTAATAAATTAAGTTCAAATGTTTGGATGAATTTTTGTGAACAACCCAACATTAAACAAAAATTTTAATTTTTCAGTAATTTTTTACGTTATGGACCCTAACCATTCCTTTTTCCAGCGGCATAGCCTTCTCATGTATTTCTCTGGTTTTATAACCCATAACACAATAGATACTAAGAAAGTTGCAAAATCTTTTGACCGATCTAATCTGTCTTCAGATCCAAGATACTCATCATATTCTGAATACACATTTAAAGGTAGGTACCACTTGAGGAGGCCCTAAAGTACGTACGTAATGTGCCCATGTCTAACGTACCAGATGAAAATAGATTAGATTTCTCTAAGTGACCAGTGTTGGTCTGCATAACAAAGAGCTTCTTGCTGACATAGTGGACGTGAAAAGGGTAGAAAAGTCAGTTCTGGCGCTTAAAGCATTCTTAAATACAATCTTAAAGGTATAATGTAACATTTAAAATTCAACAGAGGGACTGCCATTGTGTTTAATATTTATTTAGATACCTACGTTGAACTGCACTCATGAGGGAGGAGTGATCTATTATATTTTTTGGTTAAGTGTTTATTTTACGCATATTATACAACCTATAACGAAACTCCTTCTGTTAACATATCTTTTTCCCAGGATCTGTTTGAAGAAAAAATAAAAAAAAAGTAAATATAATGGTCAATTTGCTGTAAATTATCCCCAAAATATCCATATTATTTGTACCGAATCATATGATCTGCTAGCAGCTAGCATGATCTCAAAACAACAGGACAAATTTAACTATTGAACTTGATATTTACAGAAAATCTCTTCAAAGTCAAGTTTCAAACTGCCTACTATTTCTTCCTTTTTACCACCTTTATGTCCTGGTCCTGTTGTAACGAAAGCAAATTAACTTTAAAACAGCAATAAATTAGAGATGTACCGAGTACTCATTGTACTAATCGATAGGGATATATTAAGTATTTCTTTTAGTACTCGTTCTAGGCAAATACTTTTGAGTATTTCAATAATAAGAGAGGCTACATCAACAATAAGGAAATTCTTTTCATTTGTTGGAAGATAAAAAATGAAGATCTCAGACTAGCAAATTGTTTAACATCGTTAGGAATTTTGAGGTTACTGAAATCTATTTATCAAGAATAGGGAAGCTTTTTCCATTCGTATTAGAAATGGAGAAAGAAGGTTCCAGGCTAAAAAAAGTATTGAACATTGTTAGAAATTTTGATGTTACTCAAATTTATTTATCAAGAATAGAAAAGTATTTTCCATCTGCAGGAAAGGAGAAAGAAGGTCCCGGGCTAAGAAATTCTTTAATAAATATAAATAACATCAATGTTCCTAATACTGTTAAAGAATTTCCATTCCTAAAAGAAACATATTAATGAAACAAACGGACATTTTACAATTTTAAATACGAAACAAATCCGAGACATAAAACTGTGTGTAATTGTACTGGATTCATTGAACTACACTAATAACTTGTGGATAATTGAATTACCTTTCAAACGTTTCCGTTTTTAACTGAAGAACCAGTTAATATTTGTTGACAGGATTTTTCCTGTTGTAATGTATAGAAATCGTGTGTTGAAGCTAGTTAGTCACACTTACGAGACGGGGAAAGTCCCAGAGGATTATAAACGGAACGTGCTATTAACTATACCTATAAAGAGAGGCGCGGATAGGTACAAGACATTTAGAACAATTAGCTTAACTTCTCATGCGTCAAAAATCTTAATTAGAATTGTACAGAATAGGATGAAAAAACGGACGGAAGAACTATTAGGGGAAGATCAATTTGGGTTTAGAAGAAATAGAGGAACGCAGGAGGTCATTCTAGCTTTACGGGTAACAATCGAAAAAACGACAGAAAAAGGAAAGAGTGCGTGCAAAGGATTTGTAGACTTAGAAAAAGCATATGACAATGTGAAATGGGACAAGATGCTAAATATACTTAAAAATGTAGGGATGAGTTACAGAGATACTTAGTTTACATAAAGAGCAACAGGTAGTTATAGAGCTGGAGCTGCAACGTGGAGATGTAAATATTAAGAAGGGAGTCAGACAGGGATACACACTGTCACCTTGTTAAACGTGTATGTTTGGAGCGCGTCGCTGTATGGGTGCGAAACATGGACGGTGGGCGCGGCGGAAAAGAAAAGGTTAGAAGCGTTCGAAACGTGGTGTTACGGAAGAATGTTGAGGATACCGTGGATAGAAAAGGTTAGAAATGAAGAGGTATTAGAAAGAAAAGGAGAACCGAGGACTCTGTGGAAGTCAATAAAAAATAGGCGAGACAGGCATGGAGGTCTAGTCAGAGGCAAAAACATGAGTTAAGAGGAGTAGAGGTCGACCTAGATTAGATTACTGTTAGCAAATAGTTTAGGATGTGGGTCGTTCTAATTTTGGGGAAATGTGAACATTAGCTCAAGGTAGAAAGGAGTGGAGGTACGTGTCCAACCAGTCTTAGGACTGACGACCATACGATGATAAATGTATAATTTGGAAGAAATTGAAGAACCAGCATTAAAACTATGACCAATACGTTAGGTATGCTCTTAATCTAGAGCTCAACACACTGTTCGCAATGTGCAAGTTAAAACAATACAATGATATGCCTTCTATGAGACTTCTCCACTACTGGTCTTGGTATTTTGCACAACTATTATATGCAGGAAAATGTATGTAACGCCCACTTCATTATGACAACTGTCTATTAACAAACCTTAGACGGTAAATAAATCATTTATAAGGTGATTAAATCTAGAATTAGTACCGTTCATCACAGCTGCAGTGCATAATGGTGTTAAGCCTCCAGTTGAAGAGCCCATATTTGGTCTCGTAGGCGGAAATCCAGTATGGGCATGAAGTATCGTGCCTTCGACAGCACCTATCAGTCTTCGAAAAACTTCCCAAATGCGTGTATTTGGTAGCCCTGTAACCCTTACCGCACCATTGGGTTCCTGGGATTTGGAACAAGTACGACATGTCCCTCCTAGTCCTAAATATTAATAACAATGCTTTAGACAGAAACATATCTGTTTGTTACTGTTTTTATACCATGTGGGATGCTTTATTTTTCTTTTTTAATTTATTGTTTTCCTAAGGTTTCACTTTCTACATTCTACTGACGACTTTAATAATGTTAAATTGCGTTTTATATGAAATGAATAGCAAAAACTTGAAGTTTTAGTGGAAGAACTTAAATATAGATGCAGTTGATATATTGATAAACCGAAAATCGATAAATACATATCAAGTCAGTATTAACAAATCCTCTCCAAAGAATTTAGAGGAAAATAGCCAAGATCGGCTAAATTAGAACGGCTACGAGTATAGCTAAAAGCTGATTCATACTGTCGATCATATCGCGCTACTGTCACACTCAGAGACCAATCAAACATACAAACAGGAGTGCAATTTTTTAAAAATGTGTTATTATTATTACTCCCACATAAGATGAAGAAATAAAAATACTTCATAATCAATAAAAAATGTCTCATAAAACTACAATTGTTTCAATAAATCTCATGTACATACTTTTTACTTGTTCGTATCTCGTGTTTCAGTTCATTTTTGTATATAAATTGTTATTTGTTTTTGTTAGTGTTTTCTTAGTTAGTATTTTTATAATATTAGAATGCGCTAAGTTTAAGTTCTATGTTTAATCGTATTGTCAATGGTCGGCCATTTTTATTGCTCCAGTATTACGTAGTGTCGGCCATCATTCTTTTCTAATTGTTGCCGTATTGTTGCTGTTGTCGGCCATCATTCTTTTTCAATTGTTGTCGTATTGTCACTGATGTCGGCCATTATGCTTTTTTAATTTCCGGCAAAAAAGACGTCTCCTTACAACGATGAATAGAAATCAAAGGAAACTTAAACATCGATTTAATTACTTTAACTACAGCAAAAAGAGTGTACTTGAAGTATGTACTTACATGGAATATCATTGAGTTCGGTTTATATATAACCTGGGGGTAAATAAGGTCAGATCGAGAGCTTTTTTGTCGAATACAAGGTGCCCACCCCAATAAGGAGAATTTAACGATTTTATATGTAAAAAAAGCGAATATTTGAAATATTACCCATCAGGATTGTTTATTATAATTTACATTTTTGTGGCGGAAAAATTTATATTTTTTGTAAATATTTAATACTGTTTCTTAAGCATTTTTTAATATTCTATTAAATTTGTTTTTGTTAGTTAGTATTTCTATCAATATTATTATTAAAAGACGCTAAAGTACCATAGCATACATTTTGTGTGGCATTAGTTCTTTCAAGAACAATAATTTTGATCGGTATTTTTTGAGAAGTACAACTACAAACACAAAATATCAAGTAACAGACGCAACCTTAATCTCCCGGTTCATTGGCAAGACAGTCAACTGATTAAAAACGACCCCTTTTAATTTTGGTAGGTACAAATGTTGGCCTAGAAAAATCACTCTTGCTTTGACAACAATTTTTCATATCTCCAAAACCAGTTAGTTTTTATTTTATTTGACTGTGAAATAATAATTTAATTACATTTTTTACGGCTCATAAATGAATGCAAAATTCGTCATATACGTTTTAGTGTAGGTATGGTACGAAAATAAAGCAGGAAATTCCAATAGTTATACGTATAAAAGTAGGTTGATCGTAAATTTCGTTTGTTATAACGTAATTGTGTAATCATAAGTGTACATTCAACTATTTGGAGCGTATTGCGTGTAATAAATGAGTATTAAAGACAAAAGCTGGAACGCAGCCTAGTTCTACTACAAACAGTGCGGAAACAAATGAAGGGAATTGTTCGTCTCCTTTGACAATTTACTCTTAAAATAAAATATTTTCTTGAAACAGTCGCTCGAATTTATTCTGGTCAAACAAGAAGCGGCAAACGGGAAAGGAAAATCTCTAAAATATGTGACAGTTGGTGTGCTAGACAGAAGCGCAACAAATTGTGTTTAAATTGAAGTGTTACACGCATAAATCGTCTCCAACTAATTACACGAACAAGTAACTGGAGGAGTCTTGTAAAAGTGGCGAATGAGTAGCAGGCTTGTGGCGTGCTACCGCCTTGCTCGACATGCTCTTGAAATTCTTATGTGCTGTGTGCTGTTTAAACACACTCCGTATTCTCACATTGGCTCAAGTTCATTAACAGCAGCCAAAATATTTTCGTTTTTCTCTTTTCTGTTCCACTCGTTCGCTAATTACTAATGTATTATTTGTCAGTAGGTCAATCACTTACAACATTTGTTTTTATTCCAATCGCTAAAATTACCAAGATCCTATTATGTTATGTTAATACACGAAACAAAATCAAAAAATCGGTCTGGGGGTCAATTTAACCCCAGTACGTCGCGGTTGATCATAACATCAACAAGCAAAATCCACCAAAACCGTAAAAAAAATATTTTTGCCCCGGCGGCCTGACTGTGTATATCTACTGTATGCTTTTGGGGTTGTTGAATCCAAATCCGCGGTCAATTTAACCTCAGCCCATCAGGCCGTGAACATAATCTCAAAAAACATTCCAACATCGATTTAAAATTTGATTTAAGAATGATAGTTGCTTACATTTTGACTTCACCCCTGTAGAAGTAGATTTCAAGAGTACAACATGACTGGAATTTGTTAGCGCTCAGGTGTAGGAGCTGACAGGGTCGAGTCATTTCACACAGAACAATCAAGGGTTGGAGTATATCTTCATTAACAATATAAACATTATTAGCGTTAATTTTAAATCTCTAGGTTCATCGGTAAGGTAGACACTGATTTTTTAGAAACAAATAATTTTTTACCTGCTACCCTGCTACAAGATTTTTATAAGCAACAATAAGAATCCACCAAGCATTAAATGTTGTTGGTAATTATCCAGAATTGGGGCTCCAGGCCAAAATCGCTCCAAAAATCTTTCCATTGATTTCCAGCCATGCTACATAATAGAATTAGATATTAAAAGGTGGGGGAGACAGCTTTTTATGACTTCATAAATAAAAAAATACTTTCAAATTTCCGAAAAAAAGTGATTATTCCTTGTCGTGTCTCCCTCGCATCAAATATAATCATTGAACCCTTAGAAATGATAAGAAATCGATGAAAAAATTTTGGAGCGATTTTGGTCTGAAGCCCCATTTTGGACAATTAGATACCAAATTGTTTTGCTTTCGTCAAAATGCTAGATAAAGACTGAATTTTTATTAGCATGAGGGACTTAGTGCAGCTGTTTTTTGTAGGGGCCAAAGATATGTCATAATGTTGTAGATTTTAAGTTCTATGGAATATAATTTAAGAGGTCATGAGTTCCCCGATCATATTACTATATTAGGCGCCTAGGCAGAATGAGTAAAGAGTGCTTTAGACCATATGTTAATTTCCTTCCCTATCCTGCGACGTATGCTGTATTTCATCACCCCTCGGATATAGGAAGTGAAATTTTCTTAGGTGCAAAATTTAGTAATAATCTTGACCATGAAAAAATGCAAAATCGTCTTAAATTTTACGTTATATCGGGAAAATATTTAGTCAACATATGGTCACAACTTTAACTACATAGGTTTTGGGCCACCCAGGCTCCAATTGACATGCCTAAAAACTTCGATTTAATATCATAGAATTCCTTAAGCCCCTTTTGGACCCAACATTCAAATTCTAAAGTGGTCTTTAGCCGAAAAACTAAAATAAAACTAATGTTATTGCTACACTATATACCTACTTAGTACACATTTATAATAGTTTACAGATTCATGATAAAGAAAACCGAATACTAAAACACCAACGTTAAACGTGTACACATGTAAGATTATATATCTTTATAGAGGGATATATAAAATACGTGTATGTAAGTATAACTTGCCGGCGTGTCTTTGTTCTTTTCCGACAAACTTCTTAATTACCATTTACACCTGCCGGAGGAAGGTTGAAAGTATCCGAAAGACGTCGCTGGTATTTGTCTCAACAACACACCGTGTAGAATCTCGAAGTTGACCAAAGAATGTCCGTCCACATGCTACCGCACTCAGCACTGTCGGCGCATTCGTATGTCCTCCGAGTATATGATAGTCGACAAACATATGCACTAGGTACATTTATTCCGACAATGTTTAGATTGTGATCTAAAACACACTAACGCATCAACTTAGAAAAAAAAATTAAAAAAAAAAAACGTGGCATCGCTTCTAACTTTTCGGATAGATAAAAATGAAAAACTGTACAGGAATGTCAACTAGGGTCCTGTGCTCGCTTCCCTAAACTGGTAAAGACGCAAAATAAATAATATTTTCATATATATTAGTAGTGGTAGATATAGAGGGGAAAAAGATTAGTATGTTTAGATTTGCAGATGATATAGTAGTATTAGCATCAAGCAAGGAGGAGTTAGAGATAGCTTCAAATAAAACGAAGCGGTACTGACAAAACAGTATTATATGAAAATAAATAAAAGTAAAAC